CAGACTGGAGTAAATTATGAAGAGAAGCCGTAGCCTGGCACCGTCACTCACGCCTGGCACTCTAGCTATTCTGGAGGCTGAGATCTGAGGATCCTGATTCAAAGCTCTACCAAAGACAGAAGTGAAGCTGTGGCTCAAGTGGTAGAGCAATAGCCTTGAGCAAAAGAGCTCAGGGACAGTGTCTGGGCCTGAGTTCAAGTCCCATAACCAGCACATACAACTCTTTCCCCCCAACACACACACACACACACACACACACACACACACACACACAAAGATGATTGGGGTAAATTTGATTGAAATACAATGAACTCTTCATACAATTAATCTATGCTGGTAAGTGTATGATGGTGAAACAAATTCTTGTACCCAGTATTTTTTTTTCTTTCTTTGAACCAGGCTGGCTTTGAATCTCAGTCCTCAGATCTCAGCCTTATGAGAAGCTAGAATTACAGTGTGAGCTACCAGTGACTAGCTCCAAGTATTTATTTATATGATCAAATCAACAAATGCACTTTCAGCACTGGGGTTTGAACTCAGGGCCTCATTCATGACTACTGAGCCCCTTGCCTAGCCTTGGAACACATATTAACTATTCTTTTGGGGGCTGGGAAGGTAGCTCAGTGGTAGAGTGCTTGCCTGGCATGCATAAGGCCCTGGGTTCGATTCCTCAGCACCACATAAACATAAAATGCTGGAAGTGGTGCTGTAGCTCAAGTGGTAGAAAGCTTGCCTTGAGCTGAAGAGCTGAGGGACAGCACCCAGGCCAAGAAGAAAGAGTTACTTTGTTTTTGAGACAATGTCTCGTATGTAGTCCAGAGTGGTCTTTGTGACCTGCCTCAACATCCAAAGCTCGCCTTAGGGCTGTGTACCTGGGCCTGCCCTGAGGCATTTGTTTTTCTATACTTTTCTTCTTCTCCTCAGGTTGTTTTGTATTTTTGAAGATGGGATTCTGTGCTTCTTACACTATCTACAAGTGATGCCTGAGGATCTGGTGGAAATATAAATTCAGTGTTTGATGGGCATTTTTGTGGTGGTGGTGGTAGTGGTCACGGGGTTTGAACTCAGGGCCTGGGCACTGTCCCTGAGCTCATTTTCTCGAGTCTATAGCTCTATCACTTTAAGGCACAGCACCACTTCTGGTCTTCTGGTGGTTTACTGGAGGTAAGAGTCTCACAGACTTCCCTGCCTGGGATGACTTTGAACCGCAATCCTCAGAGCTCAGCCTCCTGAATAGTTAGGATTATAAGCGTGAGCTAGCAGTGCCCGGCGGAGTGGGCATTCCTTACCTTGATGCCAGGGATGTTATGACTACTGGCCGACAGGCCATAGAAGCTGCCAGGATGTGTGCAGAGACTCTCCAGGGAAACAGCCCGCAGGGGACGGGGAGGACGGTGGCTTGAAGTTCCTGAGATGCCATCGCAGACCTTTAAGCTGGTCACAGTGGTGCACCGTCCGCCATCCCAACCACACGGGGGGAAAAAAAGAATAGGAGGATCGCAGGCCAGGCTGACCTGGGAGAAAACTTGAGTCCCTAGTCAAAAAATGAAGCCATAAAGTCTGGGCCATGGCTCCCAGCAGTGTGTCTGCTAGAAAATACAAGGCCCTGAGTTCAAGCCCTGGTAGCAACTCCGACAAAAACAAAAACAAAGATCAACAAAAACCCTAAGAATTAAAAGCATAGAAAACAAAGAAAATGATACTAGAGCTGAGAAACTCTGCCGGACTTTTCCTAAGCTGTCTCTTTTCTTCAGAGGGCATGTATAAATAAATGACCTAAGAGAAAAGAAATAAGTGCTAAGTGTCTTGCAGGGAGTGTGTGGGGAGGGTGAATTTCCTTCATTCTACCAGTGTTTACTGAGCACTTAGGATGTGCCAGCCGCCTGGCCACTGCTGTGGGTCTAAGCTCAAAGCCCAGCCCCCCCCACCTTCCCGGGAGCCTCGCTTTCAGCACAGGGGCAGCCGCCAGATGCCTCGTGTGGCCCCATCCTCTCACAGTCGCCCTTCATAGGGCTTAAACCCTTCCTTCTGACTTTGGATACTCCTTTATTTTTAAATTTTTCAACCCCACCATTCTCTTTAGATGTCGACAAGAAGGCAGAATCACATGCCTGATGGTATCTGGCTGTGGCATTCAGGTTGGAGACAAGAAACAGCACAGAAGCTGACAGTAGCTTCTTCTCAGGTTTGTAAGGTCGAAACACACAGCCCAAGGCTCCATTCTGTCCCTCCCGGAGGCCCTGTCCTGACAGAGGGGACAGGCCTACCCATAGTCAGCACAAGCAAGTCTGAACATCCTCTTTCCTGGGCATTCTTTGATAATGACTCAGGTTTGCTTTTTTTCTTCTTGTGTGTGTGTGTGTGTGTGCGCGTGTGCTGGTCCCAGGGCTTGAACTCAGGGCTTGGGGACTGTCCCTGAGTTTTTGTTGTTGTTGGTCATTCATGGAGCTTGAACTCTGGGCCTGGGCATTGTCCCTAAGCTCTTCAGCTCAAGGCTAGAGCTCTACTGCTTGAGCCACAGCTCCACTTCCAGCTTTTTCTGCTTATGTGGTGCTGAAGAATCCACCCAGGGCCTCATGCATGCAAGGCAAGCACCCTCCCACTGAGCCACCTTCTCAGCCCCAAGGAATTAATCTTAATCAAGAAGCCTGGGTGAAGTTTTGACTGAGATGAAGCTGGATATGGAAGAGGTATCTTTAGGATAATCTCTTGGGCTTGACTCAGAAACATCGCTGGAGTATAGCATGAAACGTGGATGTACCATGTTGAAATCTATGATCCTAAAATCTGTAACTCATTTCATAAAAAAAGTTTTACAAGTGCTTTCAACTTTTAAGGAACTTTAAAGTTCTTGTCTGTAAGTACAGTTCCTCCATAATTCATTGATTAAATATTTCCGGGCACTCAAAAATGTAAAAGTACTGTCTGGGGCCTGTGATGGCCAGTTAGGTATGATTCTGGCTGGCAGGGTGCTCTGCTGGTCTGGGTGGCGGTGAATCAGGTGACCTGGCAATGTCAGCCCCCCAGTGACACAGGCCCACAGCAGGTAATGGGCAGCTGCCACTGTGGGTACAGGAGGCCTCACAGTATAAGAGCAAATGCTCATGGCAGGGCTGAACTGCCAGCTATGCGAATCTGAAGAGCTGCCAGGAGTCAAAGGAAGATGGGGAGGTGGGGATTTTCTAGACACAGGGGCAAACCCAGAATTAAGGGTGCAAGGTGAGATTTTCCAGCTGAGAACGATCATTCTGCTAATTGCAGAAAAGCACTAAGGCCTGGGGTGGAAAAACCTTGGGAAGCTTTTGGTGAAGTCCAGGTGAGTAGAGAGGATGGGAAGGGATAGATTTGGGAGGGGCCTAACACAGACTGAGGGAGAATCCAGGATTCTTCTTTATTTTCCCTTTTTCCTTTTGGAGACAGGGTCTTAATTTTGTAGTCCAGTGTTGGCTTTGGACTCATATATAGTGCAAACCTCCTTGTGAACCACTATACCTGGCTACGGTTTCTGTTTTAGTTTACTTTCCAAAGAACCATTCCTCCCCTATAATCATATTTATGAGTTCTTGCTTTTAGCATGATAACCTCCGGGCTACTGACTTTCCCAATCTCCAGGCAAACATGTCTTAGAAATCAAACGCACACAAACACATATTCAGTGGCTCAGTGGTAGAGCGCTTGCCTCGCATGCATGAGGCCCTGGGTTCGATTCCTCAGCACCACATAAGCAGAAAAAGCTGGAAGTGGCGCTGTGGCTCAAGTGGTAGAGTGCTAGCCTTG